TCTTTTGCTGTTCAGTTTTGAGCATTAAAAAAGACAGCCTATTTCTGCTTTGTAAGAATAAATCAGCTGATGGGAGAGGAAACACTGAACGACCAACCTAAGGAAACGGTTGTTTCAAAGCTGTAACAGGTTTATAATGACAAGGTGGTAAAACGTAGGCCTATACACATAATTGCAAGTGGCAGAGCACTGCACACGTTAGCCCTCAATGGGGCTATCGAAATTGTGAATAGCTGCGTTTGCTTGAATTTTACACTCTGCGAATCTCCTTATATTGTGTTTCCTTGCCTCTTATTTCCGGTCGCGTGGCCCTCTCCTTAACGCGCGCCTCCCGTCTGTAGCACGTGCAATGCACGGGTAATGACGACAGGGGAAATGGGTTCAATATAGAGGTTCAAAGAGCACTCTGCCTCGGGTCATGGCGGCTCTTGGGAGGCACGACTTGAGAAATAAATGACATTTAGGTCGTGAGACAGATTTAGCATGAAGTGACATTTAGATGGCAATACGCTTTTTTTTATTTTATTTTTCAAATCAGGTGACACATCTTGAGACGAAGCAGCAGTGACATGGATGGGTGTTAGGATGTTTTAGTGCTGCACTTTATCAGTATGGATGTTTAACGTTTGAGCCACACTGTTAATAATTCAGACTGTATTTGTATTTATAGCCATAGTTTCCACTGAATGTGAAATCTGATAAAGATTAAATGAAGTAGCCAACCCGTCAACTTAAATGGAAAAGATAGGAATGTGGATTTTTCAGTATGAGGTATCTCATACAGTTTGTATGAATGTCGGTTTAAGTTTAAAAAAACAAAAAAAAAAACATTGCAGGTTTTTGCTCAGTTCATACCCAAAGGATGATCATTAAACCCTTTAGACATTGGTTGAAGCTGTGCTAAATTGGTTAGAAAAAACATTGCCCTGTACCTGATGCATTTAATGTTACACTTAAAAGAAGTAAATGTTTAGGTAAATCATTGTGATCAATATGTAGCTGCAAAGTAGCAGTGTGGTGGCATTCAGGCTTTGTTAAACCCTCACATTTGTATTTGTTTCAAAAGCAGTTTCAGGCTAACTTGGAATAAATTCTCAGGGATTATTAGACTGCAGTAACCTGACAGTAAGATTTTCATTCTGTGCTATAAACTGGACTGCAAACAAAAGAGACTTTGAAAACCTGCAACAGATGGGGAACTTGGAAAGTTGTATAGGAGTGAATGAACAGCTTTATGGAGCGCTTTGATTTCACAACTTTAAGTGGCACTACTGGACAGTTTTAATGAAACGCTATAAAACACCAAATTGTCAATTTGGCTTTCGACAGTTAACAACTAATTTGTATGCAAAAGCACTTTAATTAAAGGCGCTCTCATTTTATTTGATTCCGAATCCAAAGTATATGGCCCAGTCCAAGCTGCTCTTTTGGATTTAAACTTCCTCAATCATGTCTGTCTAATAAAGAGTAAGCTAGTCAAAGTACTTGTGATATCACAATAAAGTCATCACTTTTGAAGTGAGTTTAAGCTACATTTTAAGTAAAATCATGGCAAATCAATTCATATCTATCTGTGTTTTTATAAAGGAAGTATTTTAATCTTTGAATGAAATCTCTTAAAACGAAAGGAATCATTTCCTCCTCCATTTGTCCTCTAGAAAAACTTTTTGGAGTCTTTCTTCTCTATTTTTTGTAAACAAATGCCACAATAAGAAGCTGTGTGCTGGCAGACTTTGATCTGTTTTTTTCATGTGTGTGTCCTCAATACAAATATGAATCTAAATTGTGTTTTTTGATATGCAGGCTATCAGGCATATTCCTGCATACCCATTTTTCATCTGTCAGTAGCTACATGACAAGAGGTCAGCCCCCCAAGATCAAATATTTTTCTTACTAAATGACGGATTTATTAGACAAATAAGTTGTTCGTCTGACTCTGAACCCTCTGTGATTGAAATATACCCCTGTGTCAACACCATCGCCTCTCAAACCGGGTCCCGGGCGATGGAGGGCTGCCACTGCGGATTACTGAGCAAATATGAGTGGGAAATGAGTGCAGATCTGGGGGATCTGCCCATCCACATCCCCGGTTTGACATTTCCGTCCAAAGGCCATCTCTGCGTTTTGTTAGATCAACGGAGCTCTCGATGGGGGCTCTTATTTTTTGTTTTAAAATACCCCAGACGAAGAAAAGTGTTTAAAACAAGGACTTGAGCTATTTAAAAAAAAAAAAACTCTGTGTAGTCATTGTATTTTTCCGCTTTTTCTTTTTGCTTTAGCTCGTAGTGTTGTAATTATAATGATCTAATCTATCTTAACCTGGGCGCCTAACAGCTGCGATTAGGGTAGGCCCACTCCCTTCCGCTCTGAGCCATAGTAAAAAGTCGCGCGCTCGTAAATCTAAAGCGCCTGCGTTACCATAACGTGTGCTGAAATCATTATTTGGCGACGTGGTGTCAGAGACTCTCTCATCTCGTCTGTCAGGAATCCAATTTCCTTTTATTTACATCCCCAGTGCAGATTAATTACTCCCCCGATTTAGTAGCCTGAAGGAATTAAGTTATGAGATCCTTTGACTCCATGATTAATCCATCGCGGCCTATGCAGAGGATGCAGAAGAGGATGTGAGAAAAAGATACAATCATAATATATAATAATAATAATAATAATAACAATAATAATAACCAATTTGGAAGTTAAGGTCGTTTTATGCTCAGACTGCATCATGGGATGAGATGTGAAGGGGGGGGGGGGTATGGGGTTTGTGTAAGGGTATACATCCAAATTATCTACACATGAATATATGACAGAGGGCCCCGGTAAAAAAAAAGATAAAATAAAAAAAACGTATACCGATCAGTCCCAGTATTGAACCAGCTTTGAGGGTTATGATATCGTCGAAGTTCCTGATGATATATCCCCCTGATTAATAGAGGGCTCTGTCGTAACGGCCTGACATATGGTAGGCGAGGCAGCTGGGGACGGCACCTCCGGCATCCCCTACAGCCATTAACATATTAGAGGCTATTGTGCAGGCAGACAGTCCGACTTCATCCACAGCCCCTGTGCACAGAGACAGCACCCCAGAGCTGTTTGATATAGGCTTTCAATAATGCATTACTCTTCAATCCGCCAGCAGAGCTGTTCGTGGTGCTGAAATTATTGCCATGTGGCGCGTGTGGTGCTGCGCGTGCAGTGTAGTTTGCGCCAGCGGTGTTGTGTTACTGTCTGTTGGTTGGAAAGGAAACTTTGAACTCACAAGATAAAAAAAAAAAAAACACAGATAGATAGAAAAATAGATAGATAGGCTTTGAACATTCATTAACCTGCTACTTTATTCTGAACAATTTAATTTCGGGAGCTCGTTAACACTTTAAGAAGTCAGAACTACTTTAGAATATTTGATGTAAACGAACATCAACATTTCACTTTCACATCATTTTTCACTTGAAAGTGGGAAACGACAAAATACTAAAGCCTAAATTTTGTATCCTGAGTGTTACACATATCTTTGAAGTATTAGGATTTTAATTAAAATGGTACATGTGTTTCTTTGAAGTCAATTCCCCCACAAATCCAGGTTTTTCATACTTCATCTTTTATGATAAAATTACATACGTTCGGTATATTATTATGAACATTTTAAAGATAAAGCCAGGCTATTCACACCCACTAAATAAATATATGGAAATAAATACTCTTGATAAAAAATACTCTAAGATCAAAACATGTTTATGTAGATCTATTTTAAACACCAGATAAATTACTGACTTAAATCTTAAAATAGAGAAAAAAAGTTTTACTCACGTGCAGTGTCCTCCTGACCGTGTAGCCAAAAGCTAAAGAAAAGCAATAAGGAGGAGCTTTCTCTGCTGTTTAACAGCTGCTTCCTCCATCCGCCTGCTCCCCCTCATACCCCCGGTAGCTGTCTGAAAATATTGCATTTTATATCAGCAAAACGTGATTAATATTGCATAACGTGGGTTTAAAATTATTATTATTATCTTTTTTTTTATAAATGCAGCGAGGAAACGAGAGGACCACCAAAAATGTGGAAGTAGCCTATAGTTAAGAAGGAATGTAGGGGTGTGTGGGTAGGGGTCACGTAGTGGTCATTTTGATCACATAAATGAACTTTTGATCTCTTATTTAATTATTTATTTTAACCCTCCCCCTCTCACTCGTTCTGATGTCAGGGGGAGTCACTTCAATGTTGCTGTTGAGTTATTCTGACTCTGTTGTGAAACTTCATGAAATGTTGATTGTTAGGCCTGCTAGAACAAGGGAAAGACGACAACTTCGATTTAGTTAAAAAGATTCACCATTAAAAAAACTGTTTCACTTTAACACTATTATTTTCTAATTTAAGTCAGTATTTCTGCAAATATTCAAATATATGGTCAACTTAAAATCGTACAAAAATGAAAAAAAACAAAGCAATAAGACATGCATTTAGATAATTATAATCCTAGTTATATTACCCCATGCTAATTTTAAAATAGGCTTAATAGCTTTCTTTGAAATTATTATTATTATTATTATTATTAGGCCTGCATATTTGAGTTTTCTTCATCAATATTTAATTAAGTCAAATGCTATATTAAGTGAAAACACAGCAGATAAACAAATGATAATAATAATATTAATAGAAAAGGCCATAAGTATTTTCCCCTGTTAATTTTGTATTCGATATGCATCTGGATTTCATTCTCCTTGGTTTGAACCATTTCTAACACTAACATTGAAGACTTCAAAGCATTATTATGATCGATGAACCTTTTAACCCAACGGTCGAAACGAAAGAGAAACCTAGATACATTTTTAAATCTTTCAAAAAGGGAAAACTTGATGTGTTACCGACTTGTGGTCATAATTAAAACCATTAAAACCATTGCAGCAACATTAACATTGAAACCTTGATATTAGTGTTCAGTGCAGGGCCCAGTCACAAGCAGAAAAGCATATTTTTCTTTCTTCAGTTTATTAGAAGATTGCTGGAACACACCTCCCTGTTGGATTTGGCTTACAGGATGAAGAGTACCAATGAAAGTAAGAGGACAACAGAGGAGAACTTGTGACAGAGAGAAGGACACAGTAGGACATTTTCCATGATGCACATGTCGCCGCAGTTTTTGTAAACATACTTGTGCACAAAGTAAAAAGGTTACTTACACAACGTTTCCGTAACAATTGACACGACAAACAACGTGGTGATCTCAATGTGAAAAACAGGCATTTAACAGTGACTTACACCACCCACAAAATAAGGTCTGATCAGCAGACAGCTCAACTGTACGCAGTGATTCTTTTTCCAAATGCATAGAGTGTTTGCACTGCAAACTGGAACACATTATTTTCACTGCGATCTCTCACTTATGAAGCTGAAAAGGCTCTCGTGCTCTCTGGATCTACTTGAAACTTTTCCTCGTGATGCAAATTTAGACCCAATAAAATAATTTCCAAAACACAGGAGCTCACCTTCTGATAAGTGACAAAGTGATGTCTGTATATACAAAACCATTTCAACTATAAACCTAAAGGGTCTTTTGTGCAAATTTAAAATAAATATATCTCTGTGACAGCCTTCAGAGGCTAACTTACTGCCCGTGAATTAGGATTTCATGCAGGCCTACTTTCTTTTTTCTTTAGCCATTTAACGTTTGCAACCAAATTTGAATTCATAGCAGCCTCCAAATGAGAATAAATAAACAGATGAATAAATGAACAGATTCATGAATTATTCTATACCAACAAGTTAACGACAAAAATCAAACCAGAAACACAGTTCAACAATCAATGAGGTAATTCGTAAATGGCTATACTTCAAATAATAGGCCTATTCGGAGAAAATAACTCGCTATAATATTAAGCATATTACCTCTTTTTTTCCCATGTGTTAAAAGGCAATGTCGACGTCGCTAAAACTTTTTTTTCCCTCGAAACAACTGAGCGAAATTGTGTGTAATCTGTTATTTGCATACTTCACATTCACCGATAACGTGAAAATAAACAAGATATATGAAGCCTCAGAAAATGGGTAATCTAAAGCCCATTGTGCACCAACGAGTAAAAGCGCTGGAGACAAAAGACTGAAAATGGTGTCTTAGTGTCCCCTTGGTCCCCAAATTCAGTCCCACAACTTTAAAAAAAAAAAAAAAAAAAAAAAAAAAATCTTTTTCCATCAGTGAGCAGCGGAAAATTTCAACCTCTTCTGCTTCTGTCTTTGGTTACAAAACCACACTCGCACCACATTTTTTTTCAGGTCCAACTTTTCCGCTATAGCTGCTATTTTCTCGGACGACGGTCGAGGCTGCACGGCGAAGTACGCTTCCAAAGACCTCTTTTCTGGGGCTGCTATCGAGGTCCTCTTGCGCTTCTTCTCTCCTCCGTTGAAAATGTCCGGTTTGCTCATTTTCTCCCTCTGGGCCCCCTCGGCCTCCTCCAGCCAGGCCTGGAGGATAGGTTTGAGCGCAATCATGTTGTTGTGGGAGAGAGTTAACGACTCGAATCGACAAATTGTACTTTGGCTCAGTGATCCTACGCCGGGGATTTTGAGATTAGCAAGAGCGCCACCCACGTCCGCCTGGGTCACCCCCAGCTTGATCCTCCGCTGTTTGAAGCGCTCCGCGAAAGCCTCCAGCTCCCTTGGGTCCGTGTCCGAGTCATTCATAATGCTGGGCAGGCCGGCGTTATTGAGCCCAGGGCCGCCTTGACTCCCCCCGTGGTGGCCCGGTAAGAGCCCGTGGTGGGTGAGAGGTGAGTTCATGCTCATAGCCTGGTGGGAGAGGTGTCCCAAGCCGTGCATGTGTGAGTGCGGGTGGGCAGAGGTGGAGATGAGCCCTCCGCCGCCACCTCCGCCGCCCCCGCCGCCTCCTCCGCCGGTCCCATCGTGTGCACTGGACATTAGGGCGAGGGACGGCGAGGTGATGTGGTCCATGATGTCCTGGGGCTCCAGATTCTGGTGGTGGTGGTGGTGATGGTGGTGGTGGTGGTGGGCCAGTGGAACAGTTGAATTTGACGAGCATGGCACCGTGCTCATCGTGTGGTAGGTGGCGTCGGGCTTGAACGGGTGCGTCTTGCCCTGGGACACGGCGATGTCCACGGCCGCCAAAGCCTCAGCCCGGGCCAGCAGGGTCTCATCCAGGCTCGCGAATATGTTGCTCTGCAGCTGCGAGGGTGGAAATTAGAGAAAAGGGAAAGGAGGGGAGAAAGAAGGGGTGCGAAGTGGGTTAAAAGACAAGAAAAAAAAAGAAGAAGAAAGGAAAGAGAAAACGCATAAATAAATGTATCTGTCAGTCGGGAGTTTGGGCGACACATAACGCAGCCTGAGTATTCCTTCAGAAGCGGCAAGTCATAAAAATTAATACAAAAACAGAGAAGTCGGGCTTTGCATGCTTTCAAAAAAAAAGTCTCTTCTTGTGATCGCCGTGGAATACATGAAAAAAACATTAAGCGCTCGTCTTGGCTGCATGTGCCTTGGAGCACCGTTTGTTATTACGCACAGACAGCGTTCCGCGCTACATGCAACCAAGGCAAGAATAAAGGACAAAGTGAAAGTTTTTTGAGGGGATAATTTACCTGTGGAGTTTGTAGACAAGCTCTCCTTATAGCTTCCGAGCTGGAATGCAGGGTGGTATACTTGTGCTCGGGTAAAGAGGGATGCATGGCGAAGTGCGGCTGTTTGCTGTTCATGGACATCATCTTGGCGAGCTTCTCCAATTAAAGTGCACGGGAAGAAAATGGGGGAAACAACTACAAGAGCTGTAAAATAGTCATAGATACACAGTGATCCCTTCTCCTATCCAGTAATGATGCAGTGGAGTTCGCTGTGTAGTGTGCCGAGTGCAGCCTTGAGCCCGGAGATCACAGAGATGCCTGCAGTCTCTCAGACGCACTTATCTGTCTACTGTTTCCCACTGCTGGGGATGAGAGAGGCTCTTACACCTGAGCGCCTCAGATCTCGTCAAGCCCGTGCTCGGCTGCTCTCGCGAGACATAAACTGCCAGAACAGTGAGCAAGGCTGACAGATAAAAAAAAAAAAAAAAACTGCTCATAGGGCAGGCAGTAACATCTGGAGACTAGACGCCTGCGTTTTTAAGCGCTCACTCCATCCAGCTCCGGAACTGCGCCGGTCCAAATGCCTTAAGGCCTTTTTCTTCACTTTTAGAGGCCGCTAACCATTGCCTTAACGATGTATTTTATAACCAGGCACTTTCAAATGAACTTGATACTCGATATTTACACTACTTCAAAATATGATAAAAGACTACATTGGAGAAAACTTCAGCAACCATTCAGTACCATACACTGTGCGTAATAATTGGAATTCTACAGTAAATCATAAAAAAGGAAAAACTATATTACATTTTAGCATGATCTTAGTTGTTTTATTCACTTCATCAGTTGTTCACACCAATAGAAAATATGTAATTGTCTCGTATACACGCGGTTCAACCCAGTATGTCCCTCATCTTAACCCTTACAAGTAATGAGCCCGCCCTCTCTATCATTAAAGCCCATCATCGCCAGATGAGCACTAAACAAATTGATTTAATGCACCAGCGTAACCTTGTACACAGTCTTTACCTAAATTAATTAATCCCAATGAATTAACACTTCATTTATTCAAACCACAACGGTCGCCCAATTAAAATTTCATGCAGCGATTAGAAGTATGTGAAATATACATGATATCGTTAAATTTGCATAATAAATAAGGCGCGTTCTGCTACAAAGGAATGACTGTGCGTGTGAGGTCTCTAATGTGTGTCGTTAAAGGGTACGACGTGCTTTTATATCGGCACAAATAGGCAGGGGGTATTCCGAGTTGTAATGGTATTCATAATTGTTGTCACCAGGAAAGGTGGAGTCAAACAGGAAAATGACAATGAAAAAAAAAGTTTCATGGGAATATATGCGTCTGTATTTCCACCTGATAATCAGAATATGGAACATTAAACACAAAATACCGCCCATTATAGTCAGCGTTAAGACCCTTGAGTGTTTGTTGACCGAAAACTTGAAAGACTGAAGAAAAAAGCAGTAAAAAAAAATAAACAATTAGTCATACATTTGTCATTGCATTACTATTTTATTTTCTAAGTCACCCTTACATTGCAATTCATCACATGTCATGTTCATCCATCCTCACTTTTCAGCCAGTCTTCAAAGATTACCATGAGGATCTTATTTAATGAAAGAACAAACACATACCAGTAGAATATTTTACACACGTCTCAGCTTACATGTGAAGCCCTTCTGTGGAACAAAAAGCAGCACAGAAGTGTTTGTCTGGAGATGAAACCTACTGACAAGCAGTCACTAAAGACCTTTACTGAGACCTACACAAAAATATTTCTGTCAGACTTCTTATCTCATGTATTAAGTCATACAATATAACAGCAGTCAAACTAGCATTAACAAACAATAAGTTACACTTAGCATCACATTTATATTGTTTTACTGCAGCAACATGGGAGTTAATATTTCTTAAAACCTTCACATGAGCTTTGACAGTTTTGTGGGACTGCTTGTGTTAAAGGGACTGTGGGATTTTCTCTTTGTCGGCTGGCTGATGTTAAGTGCGTGTCTATCTCTTATTATGTTCACAGGTTTACCGCTGCAGCTGGAGGTGGACGATGAGGAGGAGGAGGAGGAGTTTACCTGATCCTGGTCTTGGCTTGCTGGATTTAGAGAGCCAGAGGGACCAGCAGCATTATTCTCCTCCAGTGAATCAAACAGCAAATCAAAAGACAGTTCATCAGTCTGGGAAGGCTCTGCACATTCACTACCTGACACCTCTGCAAAGCTCCTTGAAGGCTCCTTGTCGTTCACGGTGCCATCCACGCTCTCGCTCGCCGAGTTCTTCTCACGTTCGCACTGTAACTCGGGTTTCTTATCGTGGCAGGTTTGTGGTTCTGGGATGAGAGTGTTGTCCAAGTCTGCCGAAGCGGACGAGGCCAGGGAGAACTGCGACCCTCGGCTGCTGGAGCTCTCTCCGTCGAGCATCATGGAGTCCAACTCAGAGATTTTATCAAGGTATGCTGCATCCATGGAGGCCTCACTGGTCATCTGGAAGCTATCCGAATCATCACCTACTGGATTAGAGGATGTGACTTCTTCAACAGGGCTCTCTTCACCTGTAACTGCACACGATGGGTCGTTAGATTTAGATTTCTGCCAGCCACCCCAGAAGGCAGCATTTGAGGGTTGTATGTGAGCATCTTGTGGCAGGACTTTAGGGATCTTGTCAAGGCTGCTGAATAGGTTCTCTGTGGTGCTGCCACTCTTGCCTGGACTGGGAAGGTCTTCAAAGTCCAGCCTTCTCAGGTGAGACACAGGTTTGAATGCAACTTTCTTCTCCCGGATGCCAGGGCTTTTAAGAGTCAGGGACCGGAAGGCAGAGGACGGAGTGTTGGGCAAAAAGTCGGAGGAGGCGCTTTCCAAGTCCTCCTTTTTCTGCTCATCGGTCAGACTCTTATTCAACTCTTTGTGATCTGCAGTTGGCATGAACACCAAACTGGTATTCCTTGAAAATGTCTGACCTTCTGCCTCCGGATTGCTGCAAATGAGCTGCCTCTCGTTGTCACTCAAGCTCCTCAGCATCATGTTGATCTTCTGTTGCTGCGTTAAAGTTTCAGACTCGGCCTTGCCGCTCCCACACGCCTCCTGCACATCAAGGTGTCTCTTCTCAGACTTTGTGACGCGAGACTCCAGGTCCTCAATGTACTGGTCACTGCGCTCCAGAGCCCTCTTCAAGTGATCCGCCTCACGGTCATACTGCTGGATTTTAGCTTCCAGCGCTGCAACTGTGTAACGACCAAACCTTGGGAAAAGAAAAGCCAAAATACCATTTATACAGATAAAGGTGGTTTTAACTTTTAATTTTGCCATTTTCATTGAAAGTCAGACTGTTGATGATCATACAGGATTTACCAACCATAGCCTTAAATCAGTGCCTCCAACTTAAATGGATTTTAATTTAGAAGTACAATGTGTCACTATTCCTAAAACATAAAACTATAATCTCTACACTTCATTTTTTACAAGCAGTGACTTCTAACCAGGAGTAGATAAAATGTCCTTTGTGTTGCCTTATTAACTGAATAAGATTCAAAGAAAGAGTCGACAGCATTCAGCTATCCTAACAATAAGAAGGATGGATACTTACTTCTGAGGAGACCTGCTCACCACTTCTGCCTTTAATCTCATATTTTCTTGTACAAGGTCCACATTCTGAGAACGTAAGGTCTTATTTGCCTGAGGATGATAAAGATACACTAATGACAGAATTGTACACATTATTCTTCAAATGTGGTAAATTGACTCAATAGTGATGTTTTATTGACGGGTGCATTGGATATGAGTATCTTCAATCCGTGGTTATATTGACCAGAGGTAATAACATGAACATGGGTAAATACACAGCAGTGCGCCAACATTTTAAAACCTTATTCCTTAATATTAAGATATGAATTACAACGCAGCTGACACTTTTCTCTCACTAGTTCGAGGTTGTATTGTTATGTCTTAAAATATGGATTGCATACCTCCTTGAGTTTATCCATGTCCTGCTTTATTTTATCGCAAACATCTGTTGCAGCTCGCAGCTTGTTGGTCCATTCCTCCAGGACAGCGGGGTCAAATTTCTTGTCATCTGTTTGCACTGTGTTAATGCTGCAGGGATCCAGAGCAGTCCTTAGTTGGGACTCCAGGCTTTGATTTTTCATTTTCAGCTCTTCATTTTCTCTGATCAGCCCTTCAATTTCATCCTGTTGGAGAGACATTGTGAGGAACATTAAGTAAAAAGTTTTAACAATGACCACATAACAGTAGCATCATGATTCATGTATATGCTAACATGCTAAGCATTGCTCATTTTCTGTTTATGGGAACTTTGAAACTGGACACTTTGTTGTATTCATATAATACCATTACTTTACAGAAGCTAACGTTATGTTCAGGCACAAGTTAACAGTATCAGTAAACGTCTCCGCCAGATATTCTGAGTGCATTAATCAGGAACATCTGTGCAAGTGGAAAAACTCCACTGAACTGTGTTGACTGTGATGTTTTGGGGTTGATTCCAGATTGCATGTCTATGCTTACATGTTTGTGATCAGGAGACTGTTCAACAGCATCATCCAGCTTACTTTTTTTAAAGGGCAGAAATGTAATGTATATAAACCAATACCTCATACTCCCGCAGGAGCAGTTCTCCTCTGGTTTTTCGGAGGCATTTCCTCATGCGAGGGTTGTCGCTGTGATCACTCTCATTCGTTCCTCCTATAACAAAAAGACATGGGTCCAGACAGTAACAGGTTAACAGAATCAGCAACAAAACATTTAAGTTCAAAAGTGGTTAAGGTTCTATAATGCATTAGTATTTTTACTCTAGAGCCTCACACCGAAACATGCGAAAAGCATTACTATGAATGTTGTGGCGCCTTTGTGTGGTAAATTTAATTATAAACCAGTCATGTCCTTAAAGCCTTTTGTTAAATGATTAATGCGATTTAAAATTTAGAGAGATGTTGGTTACCGGTGTGAGTTTCTTAGAGGGAAAGAATCATTTATATCCCTGGTTGGAGAAGACGTTAACGCAGCTTGTGTTTATCAGCTCTTTTACCTTCTGTGTTTTCATAATTGCTACTTAACTTTTGGATAAGTATTCTATCATCTGAGCTCACGTGTTTATGGATGAATCTAAGTAGCATGGGCCAAATAGCATTTCTTGCATATCAGTGCAGAGTAGACCTTTATAACAAAAATATTTTTCCTGTGTGATAAATACATAGGTTTCAAAATATGGAAGAAGGGAGACCATCGATTCTGTGATCACAAGTAAACATATTCTATAAAACAACAAATGCTTCAACAAAAACACAACTAACACAAGTGAGCAAACATTCATTCTATCAAAACTTCCTTAAAATGTTGCTCAGCATTTCCTGTATCCATCATTTTGAATAACACACAGTTCCGCTTTTCACAAACCTTTAACAAAAGAAAAGTGTTTGGGGCATTTCCACACAACGATTTGTCTAATGTGATCCTTGTTTAACTCACTCCTGTAATGTTTACAAGGTCTGTAGAGTGATATGGGCAGTCTGAACTACACATGAATGTTAGTCAACAGCTTCCCATACAGCAACCCGATGTCAAATTGGTGAATAGCACACAGTCAGTTTCACTCACTATGGGTAAAATAAACATTGCTGCTTCCCATGTTGACTACAACTGTACCTACATGCCTTACAGTGACGTCACGATGACTCAAATGTGACATGCTGCTCGAAGATATAGCCAAAAAACATTACCTCTCTGTTGTTTTGTGACCGCTTCCTCTTGTGATTACAGAGCAACTCACCGATGATTTCTCTGCAGGGGCTTTCCGCTGTGATGGGGACCCGGCAGGACGGACATTGGTTGGCTTTCTTTAACCACATTTCCATGCAGGACGAGCAGAACACGTGGTTGTTCGCACAAATGACCGGCTGTCTGACCTGCACAGAGTGGGGGAAACACGAGCAGTTTATTTGCTTTACTTTAGCAGAAATGTACATTACCAAATGAAACACACGATGAGTTAGTAACGCTTGGTAACGTTGGTAACATGACGACATTAAGGTTACCTAGCAGCAGTGTAAACAGATCGTCTCAGTTTGACGATTAGAGGGCGGCTGCGGTGTAAAAAATAAATAAAATAAAAATGAGTACAACAATTACCTTTCCGAGACATATTTGACACGAAATCGGCAAAGTCAGAGAAAGTGTGGACGTCTGATAGTTGAGAGCCATGCTTTGCGGGGGAAAAACACAAACAGCTCCTCTGTAAATGATACAAATTTCCCACCAGGAACTGCGCGCGTAGACTGAGGACTACGGGAAGCCACCGAGGACAAAAAGGCGGCTGGTTCGCGAACGTTTTAAAGAAGCACCTGTTTGCTCACACTTGATACCTGAACTAGTTATAATACATGTTTCTAACAAGGTTAATGGTAATTTAAAAGGTGTATAAAAGCTTGTAGCCTACTCCCCGGTAAGTATATTGGAAGTTTTTTGTTGGTGCTATTAGCACTTAGTATTTTAATGTTGTTAGTTGTATGCACTGTAGTTAATAACATAATAAATTACACAACATTACATTTTTTTTTTTTTTGTAGCAGTCAATATTTTCTATGTACTACCTATGTATTACCCTACTGAAGCTGTGGCTAACGATAATGTAAATAGCCTTCTTGCTCCACCACTGAAAACAAAAACAAAAACAATAAAAAAGGTATGAGGCTATCAGTCAGAGGAAGTTTATTTGTGAACACTTAAAGCATGTAGAACAACGTGTTACACTCATTTAAACTTTGATTAACACCTTCAACACCTGAGAAAATATCTGTTGTTTGCATGTTATTTCTTGTTTATTTTTCTTTCTATCTCTGTTGGCTAGTAACAAACTTTGTGCTCTGTAGTTCTGATAAGCAGCATGCACAAACTTTAACAAAGCTACTGGTGCTGGGTTGATAAAAAGTCAAGTCATTGTGGCTGACAAAAGAACAAGTTTGAGGTAATCCCCATAGGAATCAAGCCACCCGGAGGGATGCTGTAACCCTCTGTGCAATTTGCATGTCACAGATTATACTGTAAAATAAATGTTAAAAATACATTTGGATCGAGGCATCAAGTGTTTCAAAGGTTGTTTTGTGGTTAAAATAAATAATACAATTCATAAAGAAATATGATATTCCAGGATATACAATAGCATCCAGATGCTTTTTATTTGGGTTAAAATATCCTGTATACAAATATAGCTTTTCATAGAGTTAACTTCTTTTTATTATGTATATTTACACAATGAAGTTCTGGTAAAACTTAAAGCCAACAAGGACTCAGAGTGACTTAGAAAACAAGGTTGTTGTAGGTCATCGTGCTCCCAATAACAACTAAATAAATATTAAAAATATAGTCTTTATGACATTAAATGTCATGCAAAAACATATTACCACAATTCAGATCACAATATAAAAACACCTCTGCGTTGAAACAAAGGAAATATTGTAAAATAACAATTCCTTACTTAAATGCCACTTTAAGCACATTCATTCAATCAAAGCCTACCCATAATGAACAATGCAATGTAATATTTTGAAAGCCTTCATGTCAGGTGAACGATCGAATCTATAATGATACAGAGGGATCTAATGTTAGCATAATGTCCACCTCAGATATTTCAAATTACATCCACCACAGTTTATCCCTCCGGAGCCATTACTCATTTAAACCAACATGTCTTGTGCTTCATTGTATCTCAAAGCAGGACATCTTCTCAGGAGCTAATATGATTAGAATTGACTGACTTAAAAGAGCGTGTACACTGAACGCAGTCAAAAAAACATCACATACTTGTTTCGTTGTTTTCAACAGAATATGAAATGAATCACAGCAGGCCTGCCCTCGTGCTTACTCAGTTTTAAAAGCTGTTTTGTGAGGTTTTCTTTTCTTAGTGGCATAATTAAAGTGATAAATTGAGTTTTAAATATGCAGCCTTTTTTCTAACCTTTTATTGCCTCTCTATAATGATATTTATTAACACATATACAGCATATTGAAACAACAGGTGTACACAAACAAGCAACTATTCAAATATTTTTAGTAGCTGTGTCTGATTGAACTAAAAAAAAACAATGTAGATGTGTTTGCAGTACGAGCTTTCATTTAAGTCTATTTTTGTCCTGATAACACAACGACTTCAAAGAGCACCTGATGTGGAGGATGCTACCAGAGAGACTTTCTAGTGTTGTAGTAAACATGCAAATTGTAACTGAAGTGGCTCGCACATTTATTACCAAGGAACTCACTCTAGAATAACACATAACAGACCAAAACTAAAGAAATTCAAATTTCCTGACATACATTGTCCTTCTGACATTGCATTGCTTTGCAACAGGCCAGTCATTAATTGGTGACAGTCAATTAATCACAGCTGGTACAGACGGCTGCATCTATTGATCTTGTCCGAGCACTTATTTTTCATCCCTAAATGACACCGATCGCCAGATTTGACCAGCATGTGTAATGGACAGTGAAGAACCAATGACCCGAGTGTCACTCTTACCACTGGTGGGGATCTGGGTCCCATCCCCCATCTCTGCCAAATAGCATCCTTACCATTTAGCTTGGAAAGGTTTAGACTGCCCTAAGAGCACAGCAGCGAAACAGTGCGCTCTGGTGCTCAGATGACCTTTTCTGTTTAAGGCTTAATCTCTGACAAATGCTTGCTTTAATTAGCCTGATCCCCCCCTGCCTGGACCGCCACCCCATCAGGCTCCCCTCTCTCTCTCTCTCCCTCTCTCTCTCTCTCTCTCTCTCCATCATCACTACTTTTTTCTGTCTTCCCTAGTGTGCTCATAGGAAATTGTCACCTACATCAACTTGATGTAGGTGACAATGAAATGACAGTCAGGTAGGCAAAGGTTAGACAAAATGTAAAAACTTAACTATTTGTGGGGTTGCTTAGATGGGATGATAGGACAAATCGTTTTAAAAACATGCTTTATGCATATATCAGGAGAATTCAATGTAACATCACAGACAAGTTCCTTACATTACTAATCCACTACTTGATCATTCAAACTACAGCAGCTTAAAATAGAGACAGTGATGCTTAAAAACACCCAGCATAAGATGTTTAGTAGATATTGCCTGTTCCCGTAATAATGCACAGATTAATGACTATTTAATGGCACATAAGAAATGCGGCAACAGAGAACAAAGAAAAGAGAAAGAGGTCATGTCGGGGAGAGACTATGAGAGTATAAAGATTAGCTCGCCCTCATTGGGAGGTTTAAGATAACGTTGCAACAGCTACCTGCAGGCCTCATCTATTGATTAGTCACTATCAGAGACAGCAGTGTGTGTGTGTGTGTGTGTGTGTGTGTGTGTGTGTGTGTGTGTGTGTGTGTGTGTGTGTGTGTGTGTGTGTGTGTGTGTGTGTGTGTGTGTGTGTGCGCATATGTAAGAGAATGCTTCAAACAAGTGCATGAGCTTGAATACACTATGTTGCATCTGAAAATACACATTTAAAAAAACACATCTCTTAAGATGCTGATAAGGTAAAAACACTCGCTGCGTAAGTTTAACACCATAAAGTAAACAGGGCAAAATGTTGCTGATCTCTTTCTAACGCTGCTTAAGATTAAATCCTCTCAAAGCTAAGGCTATGAAAGGATTCAGCAGCACTGCAGCAGCTCGACCGTGCATCCCTCCCACTGCAGCAGCAAACACAAGTAAAATAGATGCATGGCTACAAATCCTTGTTTTATTGGAAAGGGGCCTAATTATTAGGATGTAAGTCAGGCTGTGACTGCAGGGCCGTCTCCTTGATGCGGGCCCTGGTTTATATTTATCCCCTCCACTGCAGCTCCAGCAGCAGTGCCACCATCACTACCAGCAGTGTGTGGCGCTTTTATTACATCGCCCACAGGCAGGTTCAGCCCTGTCACACACACACACACACACACACACACACACACACACACGCAGCCTGCAGGACCGGCAGCCAGTTGAGTCCCCTCCACAGCAGAGTTACCCCACATCCCCATGCAGCCCCACATGGGCCCCTGGGACTGTGGAGGGAGGGAGAGGGTATTATGGTAATACTATAGCCTGCTGCTCCCTTCCCCTCTCCTGCAGCACAGCTGGGAAGGACCATCATTACAAGTATTGTAGCAATCTGTTTAAGGGGGACACATTGGAGAGGTTGGGTGACAGAGAGGGGATGAGTGCTGCATACATAGATCACATAAAATATGATTAAAATGTGCGTGAAGGGACCAGGAATAAAATGCAAAACTTGTTATGAACACCTTATATCAAGTCCACTGTCAAAATGGCCAGCTGTAAATCTCTATTTTCCCCTCTTTACTTTTTTTTATTTTATTAAAGGTTTCTTGCGTTGAGCTGGTCATATCTCAGGACGAGGGGCCTGTGGCACATAAGGAATAAATAGGACATAAAGTACTTGAATCTCTAATGCCTCATATAGCTTTACCAATCTGTATCGTAGTGCGTCACAAGCTGGAAATCCATTATAAAGTGACCAAAATCAAATAGCCTTCAATGGTGAAACTGCACCGCTCTTATGGTCAAATCATGCAGGAATTTTCCAACCAATTATTTTTAAACGGGAATGAAACCCAAGACATATATCCATGTCTATATCTAAGTCTTTATGGTAATTGATAAAAGCTGTATTGCTCAGTGAGAAAATCATCCCACAACACATGTCTCAAAGGTGCTTTGGATGCCTGTTTTGCAATAGATGAATGATTATATATCAAGAAAGTGTGATCAGAGCAAACACCCACTATTCTGACAGCAGATTAGACCTTTGACAGATCGGTCAATCTCTCACTGTCGGATTTGTCTGCTCAATGCCATCCATCTTGTCTTTGCTTTGGAGCAAAAGATCCGGCTTTGATTCAGAGCCTTCCTCAGACTCCATCATCCTCACTGTATTTTTAGGAAACAGAAATATCCATTACATCGCTTTTCCCTCCCTGTCGTTCTATTTTCAGCTCTGATTTGAACAGAAAGTTCGATTGATAAAGCACAGAAATCTATAACGGCCTGCACAGAGGTGAAGGGTTATTGAATAGTCTGCAGATGAACTATTTAAAAATGCATATTATCTCATTATTCCTGCTGCCAAATCACTGGAAACTATATCTGCCACATGATAGAAAATGGTTCTCATCTCTTTTTTTCCCCCTTTTCTTGACCTGGCAGAGGGCACGTGAAGAGTGAAGAGGAGAGAGAGAGAGAGAGATGGAGGGGAGGGAGAGAGAGTGTCTTTTTAAAAACTGCCTCAGTGCGCTAATGTTCAGGAAACCTGAACCCTTATTGGATCTGAAGGG